TGGAGAGAAGAGTGCAGAATGAAAACCTTTCAGTTATATGCACAGTTTTGCAATGTTTTGAGCCTGGATTTAAACAGCGTCACAGAAGAGTCTGTCTCACATGTTCAGGAAGACTGTTCCAGGTTTTAGCTGCATGAATCTGAAACGCTGACTCCCAAATACCAAACTGCAGTTTACAATATAACTTTAATTTAAACCTCTGTGACTGTCAGTGACCAGAAAACAATGAGTTGTGTTCACTCAATCTAATAGTTCAAAGTAATTCACATGAGAGTGTTGGTGAGTTAAAACAGATATAAAAAATACAGTTTGGAGTTTGGAATCTTCTCATTTTTGTATTTTGCTCTGGTCCACTGATGTGTTCAATACAACCAAAAGGCCAGACATATCTCAGAACGCTTCCAGCAGTGACCCTACACCTCTGCACCAAAACGGTTTGTAACTTGGCTTTTTCCTGAGACTTCCTTAAGACATAATTAAAGTCTCAAAATAACTTTTTGGCAAACTTTGCAAACACATAAAATGTAGTATTTATTGCGTGGGAAGGTGAAAACATAACCAGTGCTGTGGAGTCTGGGACTTGATGCATAATTTGAAGTGGAATAACAGAACATGAACAAAGACACATTGTTCATGTGGCGTATATGATCACATGGGATTAGAGCAGGTGACGCACTGTGTGGACCCCCTCTGTTGGTTCTAACAATGAAGGAAATGACTCTGCCCTATATGTATTTCTCTACATGAAGGAAAGCAGGTAATGCCACTAGGCTTTATATATATATATATATATATATATATATATATATATATATATATATATATATATATATATATATATATATATATATATATAGGGGACATATTGGGATTATTTACTTATTTATTAATCTGTTTGGAGGAAGTTTTTTCAACATACCACCATACTGCCAATTTGAAGAAAAAAACCCCATTAAAATTAAACAATAAAAAAAAAAAAAAAAAAAATATATATATATATATATATATATATATATATATATATATATATATATATAATTTTTAAAATATTCTCTTTATTCTTTTTTTTTTTTTTTTTTTTTTTCTGAAGGTGCTCCCTTTGACATATTGATTTCATACATTACCACAGATAATTAGTAGCAGCATCTCTATGGAGACAAGGAGATGGCAGACCCTCATCAAAAAGTCTACATATTGCATTTTATTATTCAAAAACAACAACAACAACAACAAAACCTTTACAAAAATATATTAGTGATAAAGACATACTTTTTATAAGATACAGTAATTGTAAGTAATTTGCTGCAGCTACAGTTGTACATTTTCTTACTTTGAGTATTTTGCGTTCTACATAAGATCCTGTTCTCTCTTCCAATCTCCTGTGTCCATGTAATGCCTTCTAGCCATTCATTTTCTCTGCAGGTCTAGCCCACTTACCTGCATGTCACACCACTTCAGAAACCTCACATTTGACTTCCAGCCTCAGCCTCCCCATTTCTACCGTGCCGATAATCCATTATTTTTGACTGACACATTTCACATCACCACTGTGGGGTACAAATCAAAGATGGAGCTGGCCTCTTTACCCGCGGATTCATTGGCTTTCATGACATTTTCTTTTGCGTTTCTCTTTCTCTGCCTTTTTGCCTCCTCCAAGTGTGCGTTTGCATCCCAGCAGTCGAGATTTCCTTTCCTCCGGTTATAATAGTTAGACTGTGAGAGCACCGGGCTGCTGCTACCTCTCCCATCACCTGTGTGTCCTTCATTCCCCTTTTCACTATATCCAACATCTCTCCCATCTCCTGCTGCCCCTTATGGCAAAATCTTACATTATATTATGGCCTCAAAACTTCGGCAAAAAGGTGGGGGCGCTCTATCCCCTGTGATTGCTCCCCAACAGTCAGAACCCGTATCAGGTCAAATCAGGGCTGTTGTGAAGTACGGGGTAACCTACTTGGAAAGAAGAAAGTGTTGTTTCTGTATCATCCTCTTACATTCTGTGTTTTTACTAAGAGTTCCCTGCAATGATTTGTGCAATGATATGTAATTATGCCTGATTACTTTGCAAACATTTAATTAAACTGGCAGCAGTAACTTGGCAAGTTGAGTTTATATTGCAAATGTGGATTTGGGCTTTTCATTGGCTCCTTGACGTGTGTGTGTGTGTGTTTAGGAGACATACAACATAAGACAGTCTGTATTTTGTTAATCGTATAAATGAGACCAATTATTTTTGAATAACTGCAAGTAAGTAAAGAGCTTAGGGCTGAGACATGGGGAAGGTGAAAACTGAAATCACAAATGCAACTCTTGGGCAAGTTACTTCAAAACTGTAATGTGTTATTTATTACTTGTTACTGTCCCTCCCAGGGGGAGTGAACCAGGGCTGAACCAGAGCTGAACCAGGACTAAACCAGGACTAAACCAGGACTGAACCAGAGCTGAACCAGGACTGAACCAGGTCTAAACCTGGATGGAATCAGAACTGAACCAGAGCTGAACCAGGTCTAAACCAGGTCTGAACCAGAACTGCACCAGGACTAAACCAGGCCTAAACCAGGACTGAATTGAGGACTGAACCAGGAGGACTGAACCAGGTCTAACCCAGGACTAAACCAGAGATGAACCAGCACTGAACCAGGATTAAACCAGGTCTAAACCAGGTCTAAACAAAGACTAAACCAGAACTGGACCAGGTGTAAACCAGGACTAAACCAGGACTAAACCAGGTCTAACACAGGTCTAAACCAGGACTAATCTAGGACTAGATCTTGGAATCTAGGACCGCCCCAGAGAGAACCCCAAGCCCATGGAGCAGGGTGTCTTCAAAGCGAGATCGGGCATTGGCATTGGTCCTTTCGCCTGCAATCATCTGACCGTCTACACGCACCTCCGGGCCCGTTCCGACATTCGGAACTGTAATGATGGCGTTTCACTGCTGCTGATATCGCTGTGATTATAGTGAATTTGTATAAAGAAAAATTAAAAACCCATCCCTTCAACCCAGGTTAAAAATGCATAACATGCATTACTGACATTTGTACCAAGTAAAATATTACTTTTTTCCCCCCGTGTACTGCCTTTATAACATGTTACTCCCAATACTGCAAATGCATGACACAGAATTGCATGAATCAATAAAAAATGACGCATGTAACTTGCCTGGTGGATGGTACACGTTTGTTAGCATCACTTACTTGTTTCCATAGAAATAAATACATTTAAATCCATATTTCATGGAAACAAAAAAGTTCGAACCCCCTTCCAGAAAAATGACATAGTGCGTCTTTAAAATACAACTCTGAATATGCCAATGATAAGAGAAAACAGCTATTAAAAACACAAAAAATTACATTTTCTATAATATTCTAAAATTGTGTTTTTATATCACCATGAATTGCATTAGCTGAGCAAGTATCATTGTTCTTGCATTTTCCACTGTCCTATTTTTTGAAGAATGAAGATTTAGCCTATCTATGCCAAAACGAGGCTACCTGATCTCCTTGGTGCGCCCATACTGAAGTGATTAGGCTCCAGGAAGCTAAAGCTGACACTGCTGACACCCGCCCCCTCCTCCCTGCACCACATCCTGCCTCTGCATCCACCCACTCCACACGACACCACCTCTCTGAGCCCACACCCGACCGCCAGCCCCAAACCCACAGGTTGATTTACATCTTCTGATACGGTAACACAGGACAGCCGAGAGGATGGAAGAGACAGGATATCCAGGGAAAGAAAATCTGAAGAAAGCTGAGATCAGAAAACACACTTCTCTGTAGCTCATTCCCTGTCTGTGTGGGGGCAGGAAGTAGAATAATGTACCCTGCCATTTCAAATCAGGGCATCATAAGGAGCTTCATGTGGTGTAGTCCTATATTAGGCCTTTTCAACTGTATATTGGTTCTACAGAATGCTCATTGCTGTGAATATTTTTCTTTTAGTTAGGATTACAATGAATGTGTGTTGGATTGCAAATAAAGGTAATTGAAAAGATGACATAAATCTTTATAGCTAATGATCGTTTATTAAATTGTGTTGGGTTTTCTTAAGATATTTCCAGCTGTCTTTCTCTCTCCAAGACACTTCAAATTTCCCCCTGTGACTGAATGATCATATGATAATTTGTAATTGAGTATGCCTCAGTTAAGTCCAGTAGTCTGCAACCACTGTCTAAATCAGCAAAGTTATTTCCATTTGATGAACTAATTAACTCACAGATCACACATTTGTTGGAATCAAGTTGCTTTATTAGCGAAAAGCACTTTGCAAAGGGAATACAAGTGTGTAATGATGAGAAATAAATATATTATTACAAGATGAGGCTCTGAACCGTTGGGAGGAATTTGAGCTGAATATTTAATGGCAGAGAGCAAAATGTAAATGCTTCCAATGTGAAACTCAGGTCGTTTTGCTCCCCTTTTAGCTGTCATCTTTTGCCTTTGCTCGTCCTGTCTTCTCTGCACTTCCACCAATCAAAAATGTGACTATTTTTTTTAAGTAGTGATTGCTCTCGGTTTGACTCCTGTCTCCGGTGAAAGTGTTTCATTTCACTAATGCTGAAGTGAAACCAACTCCCATTTAAAACAGGCAGCCAGGCTCAATCCTCCAGGGGCCGTGGGAATAATCAAAACACTGCCAGCGCGGAATACAAACTTGAGTTAAGAACAAAGCCAATGGAAATCAATGGTGCGATATGCAGATTTTCTTGACAGCTCAACATGCAAATCATCTTTTGTGGATATGCCCCTTGTTGGCTTGCCTGGGTTAAAATAACAACAGAACCGGAGAATATGAAATGTGGTGCGTTAAAGAACGGGCAAGGCATTACACCTACTTAGTTTTGTCTGAAGGTGATCCAAAGCAATCAATAAAGAATGTAATGCACTGCTAGCACAGCTCAAGCGCCCCAGGCAATGGTCATGTCTGCACACTCACACACAAACCAGCCCGAGGAATCCATTTAACGTTAAAGAGTGTATTATTTAAGAGATGTGATGTTATGCACAGTTGTATTTGTCAGTTTGCCGGCACTTAAGAAGCTTCAGAAAGGTCTCTATTTTGTGAGCATCCTTCTTGAAGCAATTGAACAATGTGTAGTCCTTCATGATCGATTCCAACATGTCAAGCTGCATGTCGTATTGAAATATTCCGCGCTCGCTGTAAGTTGTCGACACCATCCCCTCATTTAGTATCTGTAGAGAAGCAAAAGGATACAGATAAGTGGTGTTATATAAGCTCAGCGTTGCCGTGTCTCTGAGAATCTTTGTGTGTAAGAAAATATAAATGTGAACCTTGGTGATGAGAACCAGAACCCCTTGCTCAAGACTTAAGAGTTTTTCTGACAGCCATTTTGTTTTGTTGAGAAGTAATTCTGGGGCATCGTCGTATCGATCTAAAGTAGTCTGAAGGTAAACCAGAGGCTCTAGCCAAGATTGTACCAGCAACATAACTGAATGGAGAAGCCACTGATCCTGCAACGGGGAGAGAAAAACAGTTTCACAATGTTACTTGCAGAAATATAAGATAGATTTTCAGATTAAAAAATGTCTTATTCAAGTTCCCATAGGCCAAGCATAGTCCTCAGCAAGCACAAAGGACAATGTACAGTTAGCCATTAAGCTACTGGAAGGGTAATATTTCAACTAAAAGGGCACAGGATAAAGAATTGGCCCCTGAAGATTGTACTTGCAGTTTGAGAGTCCACATATTAACTCAACTCAGCGTAGAGAACAGTTTTAGCATTTAGCATTTGTTTTACGCTTGAATACACTGCACAAAAACTGACTGACATTTCATAAGAGCGAAAAATAGGAGCAAATGCTTGAACCGTGAATCAATAGCGTGCTTACAGAGATCTGCTGGATTTCACTTTTGGAGCTGGGAATAGGTAAGGCTTTGGTGATGCATGCGTAGCCCGCCTGGTTCCTCTGAAGACGCAGTGGAAAGGGAACAAACATCTCCTCCTGCAGCCCACACACACAACAAATGCATGAAAATGATTAGCATAACGTTTATCTGAGAGGATTTAGAATGTGTTACAAAACCATCTACAGCGGGGTGTATTGGAGTTTAAGAACAACTCAACAGGACCTTGCATAAACAAAAGGAAGTGGGGGCAGTAACTCTATGCGTTCACTCAAGTCATTTACATAAGCAGTGTTTTTAAGAGGTTTGCCAAAAACTCATTCTGATTGATGAACATTTTAAAGGAACTGTTTTCTTAACCTGACAAGTATAATGTTGGAGAAACGCCGTATTTGTAGAAGGATTAGATAAATCAGTAGATAGTAAGTTTGAGACAATGTCGTAGTAAAACTATAGTATTAAAAAACAGAAATGCAAATAAATTGTAATACAGTGGCTTCATCAAACTCCTTTTGGCCCTTCATGTTTTACTATTCATTCACTGTCCACGCTCTCGTACAGTAGATGCAGCTGCCCTGGGGCTAGCTAGAGGATATGTGGCTGTCATTCGGCATCACTGTCCTCTCCACGCACCGACATGAATCCATACAGGAACACATGAAAAACTATTTTGCCCAAGGATAAAGTGACATTGCCAGGAGAAAGATTTTAATATGCAGTTGGATATTGGCAAAATTCGTCACCATTGCCAACTTAAAGCTACCATCTGTAAGTTTATTTAGATTTTTTTTTAACCTGCAGATGGCAGATGTGAAACCTGTCGCATCTCACCTGGTCTTTTTAGTCTCACCTTTGGTCTTTGGTCTTCTTCTGGCAAAGCTGCATGGCACACTATCAGACATTAGTTATATAAATACCATCCAACAGCACATAGTGACATGGGTGGGTCGGCCAATTTAATTACACACGGTAGCTTTAAAGGTGCACTGCGTAACATTTCTAGTGATGGATCTGCCACGTGCTCATCCCCGTGGAAATGTTTTTGCTTTGTCTTGAATGTTCCACAGTATAGATTAAACTTTATCATGAGGGAGACAAACGGCACTACGTTGCGTTACAGTTACAGATCTGTGGGGAGTCACTCCTATTCACAGAAGGAATGATAGTATATAACACACCTTTTTTCACTGGCTTTTAACAAGTGACATGTACATTTCTTGCTCTTGAGTATCTTATTGTTTTCTATGTTTTTAATTGTTGTTTGTATTGTGTATTGTCTTGTACTGCGATTGTCCTTGTGTATCCTGTGTTTGTGTACAGCACTTTGGCCAGCTGTAAAGTGCTTTATAAATAAAGTTGGTATGGTATGGCATTGACCAATTGAAACACCCATAACAAATAAATGCAATATGGATATGATTAATGTCATACCACGGAACATTCCAGGTAAAGCAACGGAGACAAGAAAGTGCCGAACCCTCCACTGGAAACATTGTGCAGAACACTTTTAATGCCTACTTATCTAAACTATAGCTCTTTCAAAACTAGAAAATAAAGCATTTAGATTTGAGCTCGAGCCGACGTGCACATTCTACCACCTACGACCAGTTGACAATAAAGAGGTTTAGGTTTTTCTCAGATATAGGTTTAGATCAGTAGATTTTGTACCAACACAACAAACAGCAAGTAACTTGCAAAACATAGACACGGTTTCAAATCCCTGGACCACTCACAGCGCCTGCTCAGTAACAAGCCCAACATCTTTTCATTTCAAAGACCATTTTGGATGTGAGAACCTTAGAGAAAACACCCGGGTTCAACAGGTGGCACAACTCACTGCCGTATATCATTATCACGTCGGTAATGCTCCACTGAAGGCCTGTGTCTTCAATAAAACATCTACAAGTCGGAAGAAGAGAGATACAGGGGAACTTTGAAGAGTGGGAGAGAGGAGATGATCCTGTCAGAATCAAACACAGATTATGTGGAGAGTTTAACTGAAAGTACTACATGTTTTTGGTCTAGGCTTGTTTAAATGAGCTGACAAAACACCTTCTCAAACTATTTCTCAATGTTGCGGTTTGCATCATCTGATAAATAATGCAGTTATTTTCAGTGAGTTGTTCTGCTAAAATAGAGGCAGTCGGATTTGTACTGGCTTTAAATGTTTAAGGAAGCGTGTTATTTTGGATTTCTTTCAGTTCTTTTTGTTAAAGTAGAGAAATCATAGAAGGAGGTCAGGCAAAGAGAGGAATCAAGCTTGGGTCCAAATTGGGGCTTAGGTCTATTTGACAACCTCAAGGCAAGGTGTTTCAATGTAGGCATGATCTTAAGAGCAAAGAATCCAATAATAGGGTATTCTTAATGAATTATTTGTTCAATATTGAAATTCACTCTTTTGAGCTTTAAGCCATCTGACAATGTTGTTGCTCATCAAAAACCTACCTGGAGATGTGTTTTGTTTGATTTAGACATGTTTGGTTAATCCTGGATTATTAGTCTCTCTACATTTCCAAAAACTCAAAATGCTCTGTTCCTTGTGATGTCATGAAAAGGTAGTTTTCAAGTTACCCTTTACCTTTTGTTTAATACAGATTGTCAATTCCATGGCTGAATTTATCTAAATTATGCTAGTGATGGTGTATGGAGTTTAAAAACACAATGATGTACTTCCTGTATTATCACATGACATCACAAGGTGGATCAAAGTGTTTTTTGTTTGAGAGAAGAACTTTGCCTAAATATGCGGGGTTTGTGTGTGAAACGTGTAGATGAAACAAAGCAACGCAAGTTATGTTTTTGATAAGTAAACAACATTATAACATAGATCAGAACATTGTGTAATATGGGCCCTATTTCTTCATTTTTTTGTGAGTATTGTGAGTAAGTGTGAGTATTTTATTTGGAATAATTGTACATAGACGCTGTCTGTAAGATGCCTAAATTATAATTCTGAACACTATTATAGGTTATTTAGCACATTAACTTTTAAGTTGCTTGAAGAGTTCATTATTACTTGACTAAGTTGTCATTTATTCCTGCTTGCTTGGCCTTCTCACTCTAAGAATGCCATTTTAAACCACCGTCTGTGTCACTCTCGGGTGTATAGTAATGTATTCACACTCGCTCAAGGCTGTATTGTCAGACTATGGAGACAGCAGATTCAGTGTACCTTCTTATTCCCCCGGTGCAAAGATCCATTTGTGGCATTATTGTTGTACTCACAAACAAGGTGCAGGACTCTTCAGAGACGCGGTAGATAAGCTCAGCGTGCTGGATGACTCGATCTAAAAGTTTCTCCTGAGAGATGGACGGACAATCCTGACAATCCAGTGGGATGCATTTGGTAAACAGAAAAGGCCAGAGTAAAACAGCCCAGCCCCCCCGCTGTATGACTGCAAGCAAAAATATACATACACAAAAACAGTTCATCATTATATCCACATGTATTGTTCTGAATAGTTTTTTGACATTTACTATGCATTATCAAATATGCAACAACCTTTTGTGGCTTGTGTAGTATAATAACTTCCATTACACCTGAAGGTACTCGTTCACTATTGGTTATTTTAACTATAATAACTGCTTAAATGTCACTCACTAACAACATCATAAAGTGCTCCATGGAAAGAACAACAATAAACAGTAACATAATCTTGTAGGAGTGAATACTGGCTGACAATAGCCTATTGAAACCTTTTAGTCATAGTCATAATGTTATTTAGATAAATGTAAGCTTTCATGTGGCAAATATATCATTTCTCAGCATATATAATTGTAATTAGTATTAAGTGTGAGCATTACTCAAGAGCAGTACCTGTCTTCCTGTGCATCTTGACAGCTTCTTCCAGTCCTTTGGTAGAATCCTCTCCCTGAGGTCTTACTTTTAAAGGCCGTACAGGTCATGAATGGGGAAAAGGTCACTTTGGACGTGCGCAGGTTTGTGTAAAACGACCCTGCTTCTTGGTGAAGCAGTGTTCTTCATGTCTCATTCATAATCACAAGATGGCAGCTTGTTGAAAATTAGAAACAGATCTTGACATTTCTCAAAACTAAATGTATCTACTGTCTCAAAGCTGTATGTAATTGATTTTACAAAGCGTCGGAGCAGAAGAACGATGACTGCACATTTCAGATGTATATTAAAACACACGAGGGAGCTGCCAAAGACAGACAGAACTATAATAGTATAAAAAGAGGATGTGAGGCACAAAATCATTGGGATATATCAAAACCCCTTAAACCTTTCTTTTATTTCTGCATTTGTATTCAATTGAACTCATGAAAGCAGTGTTGTGTGAGAGCGGCTCTTCCCAGAAGCCATGCTTTTTCATTTGTAATGACTGTATTTAGCTGTCACAGAAGGAAGAACAGGCTTCACAGTAATCCTGCTTGTAAATGTGCCAGCCTAGGTAGGCGTACAGCACTTCAGAAATCCCCCCTTTTCTCCCTTTTGTCTTGAATAATTACAGCACAAATTGAATAAAACTCAGAAATCTCAACAAACAGCTTAAAGAGGTGTGGGACGACAATGACTAAATGTAAGAGGCTAGTAGAAGTGGTCTCTCATGTTGCAGTGTGGTATTAGTGTAGTGTAGAGTTTCTCCGTACACAAGATTCCACATACGCCGTACTGTTTAATATGAAACAATGTTCTTGCCTTGTTACTGTTTTAAAATCTCTACATTTATATTTTTATATCTAAACTTTAAAATATTTAAAAATCATTTAAATATACCTCATGGGACAGGAGGTAGAGCAGTCTGTTTGCACTTTATTTGGTTTTGGCTTCATTGGATGTTAAGGCAAACCTGTGCTAATTCTAATTTTAGGCAGTTTCTTCAGTTCCGCCATCTGCCCATGAATTATTATCTTCAACATGACAACATCTTGCCTCCTATCTGCATGCTGCCTGTGTGCCCGCTATAGCCTATAATGTTAATGTCAATATTGTGGCAGCCATCTTCTTATAATGCTTTACCCCCACTTTGGCCTTCTGGTGGAACTATACAGTTGTGCTAGGCCAATTGTTTAAAGGGCTCATATTACACCTTTTTTCTGATTTATGTTATAAAGTTGTTGTTTCCTCATTACAGGCATACCTGGAGTGTGTTTTGTTTCATTCACACATGTTAAAAGCACATACACACATACATAAAGTCCAAAATGACCCCCAGCAAACAGAGAAAAGGTTGAATATCGCCTTCGATTTGTCTTAAATTGTTGTATAATGACACTTTTTCTACTTGACTTGATAAAAGGAATGTGATTTTAACATTATCTCCCCATTTTAAGGCTATTTTCATGCTAAATTTATTGTCATGGTCACTTTTTGCTCGAAAAAAACGGTCCACATCTCTGAAATAAAATAACATACTGTATAAAGATCATTCAGGCCTCTAAATCCATATGTTCACCCTTAAGGAATAATATTGAACTTGTTGCAATAATTCTAGTGTGAAAAATATTGTTTTGCAAAAGTCTGGCTACTTCGTCGCCATACCACCTTGTCAAAGCCTGATCTTGTCGGATCTCCGAAGTTAAGCAAGGTCAGACTTGGTTAGTACTTGGATGGGAGAGCACTGGGAATTCCAGGTGCCACACTGGGGCACGAGTGGCAAAAACTGTCAACTGTAAAACGTTTTTATCCACAGAGAATTAGACTCGCAGTAAGAAGATTGATGCTAACCACTGCTCCAACACACCCACATAGTGCTAGTGACCTGTCCAATCAACAAAGAAAAGCATACCTTGGAGGTAAAAATATAGGTCTAGAGCCCTGAGTAATATTTAAATGTGAATTTTTCAGAGATATTGACAGTTTATTTTAGTTAAATATGACTATGATAATAGATTTAACATAAAAATTGACAAAAAATACGAAGAATATATCATAATTGGATTGCTTGCATCAAACAAAGTAGAAAAATTCCACTATACAACAATTTAAGACAAAATGAAGTGGAGATATAACCTTTTCTTGTTTCAGCCATTTTGGATTTTATGCATACCGGCCACTAGGGGGGAACCCCAACGTGTATCCATGGATTTTTGAAAACCTTAGGCCCATACCTAACATCCTGCCAAAAATTATAAACTTTTCCAGAAGTGAACAATTTCCATGAATCCCCCCTGGCTTTCACTAGAATAATTTATATACTTTCCGAACTGGAGCTGCAATCTCTACTGACCTAAAGTTAAACATGAAAACTATAGCTTCATGGCATCACAAGGTGGAACAAAGCATTCTGAGATTCTGAGCACTGGAGATGTAGAGACTAGTAATAAATGGTTACTCTAACATATGTGAATGAAACAAAACACAATTCCAAGTATGTTTTTGATGAAGTACCAACATTATAACATGGCTTAAATCCCACAAGAGGTAATTTTGTGCAATGTGTGTTTGATCATCTTGATAAAAACATCCAGATTGACAAGCCATGCAGTTTAAATCCTGTGTTGAAAACTGATGTATGAGTGTCCAGATGTTTTGATAGTGCCAGATGTTTCCACACAAATCCTGGACGATATTTTAATAACACCTAGATTTTTGATGTCGTCTGAGTTTCTGAATAATATGGTGATGGATTTATTTGATACAGAATTTTTGACAGACACAAAGCCAAATGAACTGATACCAGCCACATTCAAATGTGAGTGTGCGAGTGAACTTTTGTGTGTGAAAATATTTTAACACCAGATAAACATGTCTGGTGGTTTCCTGGATGCTGTTATCCCCCTTTTTAACAGCAGTTATTTTTGCTAGCTCTCTTAAAGTACACCTTGTTTTGTTTTACTCAAATGTCAAAGCAAGAAAGACAAAAAAAATGCTGTGTGGCAAAGAAGTATTATTTAGTATATTCAGTTTTTTTTGTTGTTTTTTGGAGTACAAATAATAATGTATGCCTTGATGAGCTTTGCAGGTTGTCTTGGTTGCAGAGGTTTTCTTTACAGTGAGTTAACTGGTTGGAAGTAGGTAATGTCAGAGAAATGTCTTGCCTGATGGCCCAACAATAGCATGACTCCCTGGTTGATGGTACACTATTATTCAAAAACACAACTTACTTTCAGCTGTTTATTTCCCATATAAAAAAATCAAACTACCACTGGTTTAATTCATTTTTAGTAGTAGAAGAGAATTTGTTGTCTCCACATTTCTTCATTTTTCCTGTTCTGCTTTGCTATTTTTGAATCTCATTTGATTTTGAAAGCAATTCCCTCAGTATGAGATAAGGTGTAAATTGCCTTACTTGCAAAGACACAGATAAATCAAAATACACGAAGGAGGGAATCAGTGTTAGAAGTCTTATTGGCACTACAAGAGTCTGCAGTGCTAAGAACAGGTCCCAGAGTCATTTCACGTCTGGCACCTACAGTATGGAGCTTGTTTTCTTAATTTTAAACAGGTCCGCACAGGGAAACAAAGGAAGCTGCTCAACCTGATGAGAAAACAATGTGCCAAACCACATACAGTAACAAAGTCAAGATTTTTTCCACATCTATGCAAAACACATTGTGCATTGTGAGCGTGTTCTACTTTCTAAAATAATAAACTGCTAATTATAATTCAGATTCCATGCTGTGAATATACTTACTATTGATGTTTGTCATGTTACTCAAACTCTATTTTAATAATAAGCAAAACGATTTATTCTCTGTTTTTTACGTTTTTTGGACTATCAATACCTGCTTGAAAACATTTTTTTACACTGTAGCCTCAATTACAATCTTTTTTTTTTTTTTTTCTGACAATCCTATACAATTTAAATTATAAATTATATAATATTTAGTATATAAACCTTTTGTTCATATCTCCAAGTGTTTGAGATCAAGTTCAGATTCGAGTCTTCTTTACATACACAGCAGGCTAATCATCCAGAGCAGGATCCTGACTCAGATCTAGAGAAGGGTCCCAGATTATGTACTTTTCACACACTACTCCAAAACTACTCCTAAACTTGATTTATTTATTTAAATTCTACACGATACTACAAAGTTAGTTTAGATCAGTTTAAAACAGGCATGGACAAATTATGGCCCGTATGCGACTCTCAGACCAATTTTTCTTACCCTGGTTATTACTTTATTAAATTAGCAGCATTTTTTACTACATGTCTTTGAAAATCTACCTCGATAAAGCCCATATCAAATATTAAGTGTGTCCTCTTGAGGATCTAAGCATGAACATAGGTCTGGTGACTCATTCTAGCCTCTTTTAAATGCACATTTATTCAGTGTATTGACCTCCAGTCTATGGCCCTCGATCAGCCCTCCCTTTCATCTGTGTTTGATATGTGGCCTTTGACAAAAAAGTTTGAACATCCCTGATTTAAATCCTAATTAGTATTCCTCAAAACACACACACTAAGTAGCCTGTGTATGCAGAGAAATGCTGTAATGTCTTATCATAGTTTGAACAGTAAATATATGTCAACACTTGTTGTTATGTAACAGACATTGTTCACAGTGGGCAGAAGTTTG